TCAGAGTAGAAAGTTGAGTGTCTACACTTTACCTCTTCTTCCTTCAAAACAAAGATCACTGGGAAGTATGTGCAGGAATGTGTTTTAAGAGTTGCATCTGCTGATGACTTAGATCAAAGTGGGCTGCAGCAATCATACCAGTTGTCACTGCACTGGGATAGACTGCACTGGGTAATCTGTCTTGATGGACATGATTTCACTTTTGGGTAAGCGATTCGAATAAGCTGCGTGGAGCCTGTTAGCAAGAGACATTGTGCTGCTGCCTTAAGACAAGACAGATAGATGGAGGGGCCAAAGCACACAAGCATGGCACCGGGGGGGTAAAAGCTCCTTGATTCTAGCCTTGTTCAGTCACTGATCCTGCTGTGTAACACTGGCCAAATCATGATGCTTCCTGTATGTGTCTCCTTACCTGTAAAATTGGGGTAATTACATATGTTATTCTGTTACCCTACATTAATGTTCAAGACCAAGGGTTTTTGGGTGTTGGTTTTTTCTGTGTCATATGTTACATATTTCTTGCCACCATCTTTTCTCCCTCCTCTTCCACTCAAAAAAAAATCTAGAATAACTTCTATAAAAATTGTTGATTCTATTCAATTCTTTGTATTCATCAGGGTGGGATTTTGTTGTTTCCCTTTATCTGGTTAGCGGTTTAAATAGTTTCAAGTTCAGTCTAATGAAGTATAACCTTTGCTGATTCGACATGGGCTTTTCTAGGTGTCCTCCAGCTACCATACTTTGCAAGTTTTGTACACTATCAGTATTAAAGTTGCTGATCTCTGGTAACAGAACTTGTCTCTTAATCCTTTTTTTAAATAACGGGGTTATGTTTGAAGCTTCCGGATGATAAGGAATCTGTTCAAACTCCCATGAACTTCTACAAATGTCACTTAAGAGTTCACTGGTTTCTTTGCTTCCTTCCTTCAAAACTTTGTGGATTTATGTTATACAAACTATGTTCATCTAACCTTTGCTGATAACCAGTTTGGTTGTGTGTTCAGCACGTTGTTCCCACTAGCACCCAAAAATAATTAAGTTCAGAGATGGACTGATTTTAAGTATGTATGAAGGATCTGGAGGTCATTGACTTTAATGAGAATGCTGATGTTCACCACCTTTCATTATTAGGACCTTTTTAGAACAGTTTTGCTTTTGCAAGGGGCTGTATCTCCTTAACTCCTCTTTTTGTGTTCTTTTTGTGTCTCTGGGACACTTTACTTGCACAAATTTCCAGCTTCCTGTGAGAGGGGAGTGAGCCAGGTAGCCTTTTTAGAAGAATATTAAGGCTTTATTTTAATTTTCAGGTACTTCTAAATTTTTTAAAATTTTTTTCTTAAGTAATTACTTTTGCTCAAATTCTCTGTAAATAAAATAAAAGCCTTTTAGCTGGGAAAGCAGGTATCTAGATCTTGTCCACATAACCCTGAAAATTCTGCCCTGCTACTGTAATGACCAGCATGTGCCTCCTACTGTGAGTTATTTGATCACTTTCTGTATATTACTCTTGTGAGAATGTGAGGAGGAGGGATACTTTAATTTACAAACATGCCTATAATTTGCTGATTTACTGCTTTTCTTTTTGCTATGCCTCATAATTTTCTGTTCATTCTGTGTCTTCTTATTGTTCTGGGCTGAAGATCTTAACTTTCATATGTCTTTCTGTTTTCTGATTATAACTTCTCTGTGTATAATTTATTATTAACATGTGAAATTGTCCTTAATAGGTGTGATTATTCCTGTTTCCTACTTCCCTTCATCTCTGAGGCTTCCAGCACAGTCTGTTTTTCCTACTTTGACTGCCTTTTTACAAATCCAGAGGGCAGGATATATTTACATGTCTTCACCTTCATGCTGTGCGTGCTGCTGTAACCAAACTAGGCTAGAATTAGCAATCATGGTTTTTCTTCTGAATTTACCTCTTTAATCATAGTCCTCTAATTCTTTCGGCTTCTTTTTACTTCAACCATTTCTGTTAGTGTCCTTCTCCATTCCCTTCCCCACTTCTGTTTACTGTTGGTATCTGTTGTTACATCTGCACTCCTTTGCCAGGCAATAAAATGCATCCTCATGTTATTTTGGTTGAGCAGTTTGTTCAGTGCTTTTTCTTGCGTATGTTTCTGCAGAAACAAACCAGATATATTCTAACTCTTGATCAGTTTTATTTAATTAGTCATTACCATAAAATTCTTGTATGTTGTTACTCATTTTTCTTTCACTTTCCCTTTGTATTTATAGGGTTTTTTTCAATGTTTTTCATATTCTAGGCACAAGATAGGCTTTCCCATTGTAGAATGTTCCTCTGAAGGAGACTTTATTCTTTCCAAACCACCAGACACAGGGGGACTAATCTCTTTTGGCACTGTAGCTGAACAGTTGGTGTATGAATTGGGCAATCCTCAGCGCTATCTTTTACCAGATGTCACATGTGACTTTTCTGAAGTTTCCATCACCGAAATTCCAGGTTAGTCCTCTTACATGTTAACGGATCTGTGTCAATGAACTGGGTTAGCAAACCAAAGCAGTTACTTTAATTTCCATGTTTTCTCTGCGTATTTCCTGTTAAATCAGTTCCTTCGAGTATGATACTGAATTAAACTGATTTTTTTTCAAGGACTTTTGCTAGAAATTCCTTTAGAAATTTCAGCCATACTCTTACTTATCTTGCTGGCTGACTAATTTAAATCTTTGATCACTTTTGCTTTACTTTTTGATGCATGCCTTGCACCTACCAAGTCTTTAAACTATGTATTCTGTGTGAGCAACATTGGGACAGGTCCACTATGATTTCAGTGTTTTTTTTTAAACTGCAGCTCAGTTTCTTTGCTCAAAAAAATGTATGCGTTCTACATGTTTTCTCATATGGCATTTGAAATGTTAATAACAATGGAAAGCTGTGTCTTTCAAAGCACTACTTGGTAATGGTGTTTTTCTTAGACATTTAATTGGGTCATCTTAAGTGGTAGAAGTGTGCTTAGGTACAGGATTTCCACCAGAGAACCTCAGTTCGAAAAAGTCCATTTACTATCCTTGAAAGTCTCCACAGCCAGTAGACTGAAGATGGATGTAACCTATGTTCTGGATTTAACTTTAAAAGCAAAACAAATAAAAAACCCCAGGCTTAACAGATTTGAAGATCTGTAGGTTGGATAAGTTAGCTTGAAAAAAATGTTTAGCTACAGTCATTTGAAGTTTGTTTTTTACTGCATCTGTATTATATATCCTTTTTCATTCTAATGGAACTTGTATGTGACAGTATGCCGAGTGTCTTTACAAAACTTAGAACTATTGAAATCTCAAATGAAAAACTTACTGTGATAAAACTCAAAACACTGTAGCATCAAAAATATTTTACTTCAATAATAAAAGTACTATAAAATTGTACAGTGAAACTTCTGCTCATGCAACATAACCAAAGGGCAGTCTGGTAAGGCCAGCTTGCTGCTCTTAGCCACTACTCTCTTTTTTTTTTTTTTTTTTTAAAAAAAAGAAGAAACCCTAACCTTCCTATGAACTTTTAGCTTGCAAATGACCCGATATGACATGTTTGAACTTAAAATGAACTTTCACGTGAACTTTCAGTTAGCCCTCTTTCTTAGAAATATAACAGATGGAAAACGGGCAGATTTCTTAAATATTTTTAGTTTGAAGTGCTTTGACACGTACACCAGTAAAAACAGGCAAGCTATCTATTTTTGCTGTTTACATTGCCGATTTTATTGTCCTGCTGGATTACTTTCAGTGTTTGAACTGAGAGGTGCTTCTGTTTTCTTTTTGTCAGTGGATGCTATGCATTTTGTTTTGTGGGGTTTTTTCTTTGTATTACTCCTTCACTTGGAATATGAAGCTCTTCCAGGTCTTAACCCTGACTGTAGGCGTATTGTTCTGTATCGAGAGAGTTAAATTAACCTTATGTCAATCTTGCAGAGAGAGTGATGATGTTATTTGAGTGACATATAACATTTCTGCTAGTCACATTCACTTTTTCAGCTATGTTCTGATTTGATCTCTTCAGAGTATTTGTGTAAAGCTTTGAACTGCTTCCTAAATATTTGCAAGCACAGGTTAGGTACAGGTGAGCTAGAGTATAATACTGTCTGTCTGACATGAGGTGCTGGTCCTGCACTGCTAATTTTCAAGGAGTTGCACCTACTGATTTTCTCCAGTTCAAGCTTGAACCTGATGCTATGACAGCAGTTTTCTCCAGTTTCTTTTTTGGCATTAATATTCCTAATAGTGAACATGGTAGTTGCTCTGGAATATACATTCAGACTGTTCTGTTTCTGACAAGAAGGCTAAAGTTAAGTTACCCCTTCACTTACCAAGCTATCAGCAAATAAGCTCTCACTGGTTTCTCATCTTTCTTGTTTTGTTTCTTTACCAAGTGAGGGACTGCAGTCCACTCCGGCCAACTACAGTAGATTGTATGCTCTGTGTGTGTGTGCAATAACTGGCTGTTAAGTGGAAAATAACTATTGGGTCTGAAGTCCTAAGGCTGCTTTCTGTGTTAAGTGTTTTGAATGAATAAACATTTCAAGCGTTCTATTAAAAGGCTCATTGAAGTCATAAATTTAGTCACCAATTTGCTGTTTGTGTTTTTAAGGCAGGGAGGACTGTTTTGTGAGGGGTTCTGTCTTCTGTGGCAGTACAGCTATCAATGATTTGCTTTTTAATTAAGTGCATTTGATTAATATGTATCACAAAATAATGTTTTTGAAGTAATATTGAAGAAGCTGAAATATTGATTTTTAACCGCTATAGGTTTTGAAGGTGGGGCAGTGAAAGTTCATGGCGCAAAAGGATCGCCTCCTTCAACGTTTTATAAGGTATTATCTCTTTCTGTGGAGTGTAATGTATTTTTGATTTACAAGATTTTATATTTTTGAGAAAATGCTAAATATTTTCTGCCAAAAACTGTTACCACTTTAAAATCCTCATCCTCCCTGCCCCGAGAGTAGAAGAAAGAGGGGAAAAAGAAAAAAAGACAAACTTTATTTGATACATAAAAAGGTGTTAATTTGTGTAACAGGCTTATCCACAAACCTCCAGGGAAGGCTGGAATGGTTCTTTTATAGTAGTAATAATAATTTTTAGAACATCTCAGCCCACTAGCATATTATACTTGTTGATTTTTATACTGGCGTGTTAATTTTGTTCTATTTCACTGTGAAATTTATCTGCCAAGTAGTTTTCAAAAGGTAAGTAATGAGTAACTACATCTGTCAAGAGAGCAACTAAGAATGAGACTGATAGTCCCCTGAAATATTCTGTTGAAAGAAACCTGCACTTCTAGTAAAACTGTGAAGTTTTATGTTTGTTACTATAGTCTCCATTCCCTGAATGAATGCTAAGGTAACACAGTTCTGGTGAAGTACCAATAGGGCTGGATCCTTTTCTTGTTTAAACTAGTGGCAAAACTGACTTCTACAGAAGCAAGATCGAGATCAGAAATTAACCGCTTAGCACAGCCATATCAAAAGTGAGTTAACCTAAGCAGGGAATTGTGCTAATATTTCTGTTTAAATAATATAATGTATGTCTGAGCGTAATTTTTCTTTGAAACTTTTTACTGCATTTTAAAAATATATCTGACACTTTTAAAACCAGATTTATATAGGATAGAGTTTCAGTTTTTAAAAGACACGGTATTTCAAAGATAAATAATAATATCAGCAAAGCAGGTTTGGTTTTGGTGAGTTGTAAAGTCAGAATAGAAGAGCTCTCTAAAGGCTCCATAATTGAAGCATACTGACAAAGCATTTGTAGAATTGCGTAGTATATCACAGGTCACTTTTCTCATGCCCTTATTTTTTCACTTCTATCAGCTTTCTAGTAATCACATTTTTATCAGCTTTATGAAAAAGGGGTTTGATATTTCAAAAGTATTGTGGGAGTGTGATCTGAACATGAATTTTTCTAAACTTTCACCTAATATAATGAAGCATTGATGTTTGGGGTTTTTTTTGAAAGGCAGCCTACAATTTCAGTACAATATTGTCTTGTCAGCTTTTTGCATTTCCTCAGAATTTTAATTATTAGTTCAAGAGTTCTAGTTACATAATGCTGGAACAACAAATTTCCTTTTTCTGAGTGATCTGTGTCTTCATTATCTGCATCTGGGAATAACTGTGTCTTTTTAATCTGAAAATACGTTTTTGTTGTTGAAACAACAACAAAAAAGTTTTAAAACATAAATTATAAGCACATTTCTAAAAGATGTTTAGTTTTAAAAATCAGGCTTACAGTGTCATTGTATAACTGACGGAGAAGTCAATTTAGAAGTAATTCCTAAAAATGACATAGAATGAAGAGTATACTTTTGTACAAAACATCAAATTCCATCAATCAAATGATAGCGATGCTAATGCTCTTATTATTCCTGTAGAAAATAGTGGAATTTGATATGGGCAAATACAGAAGGCAGTGAATGTACGAAGCAGGAAATACTTTTTTTTTTTTTCCCCTTGGTCCGAGTGTGCGGTTTGAAGCAGAATATGTTTTGCTGCTTCTCAGCAACTTTCAGCGACTGTTCTGTTCAGCAGTCTTGTCGTCCTGCAGTTTTTGTTCTTGACTTTACATTTCCATACTTTCATATATCTAAAGTAAATAACTGAGATTTGAGATTTTCAGTTGATGAACCATGAAATGAAATAAAACAGAGTGACAGTTTGTTTTTTACGTAGCAGTAAAATAAAAATAAGTTTTAATTTATTTCTTATTTATTTATTGTTATGTCTTAAATGGGACATTTGAAATGTATGTGTTTAGGAGTATTTTTTTAATATATCTTAGGTTTTGTGTATTAAACAGTGTAATGATATTCTAAAATATATAGGTTAGACGTCCTGTGAAATATTTGTATGTTCTGAAACTGTTTAATTGTCTGTCAGTGATAAATTGACATATGCTTTGCACACCTGTTTTAGAAGTAATTTTTAGGAAATGAACTTAGTATGTTCAGCTTGGCTAGGAAGTTACTGAATGGCACTGTAACAAGCTAGAAATATTTTAAGGGTATGTTACATCTTTCAGTAACTTTACAGTAAGTGCAGAGGAAAATTATTTAATTGCTGCATTAAACATGAAGTGTAGTTAGTAAAACAATGATGAGAGAAAGTGAGCTATAAGGTAAATTTCAGGGAAAATAATGAAAAATAATGAAAAATACATTACCTGTGAAATAGCTTCTCAAAAGAAATAGCTGAAACACTGTTTTTTGGGACATTTAAAAGTAGACTGGGTAAAGTGTTTGAAAATTTACTGTAGGAAAAACATTCCTGGTTGTAGAAAGTTAGGCTGAATGTCTTACCAGGTTCTTCAATTTCTGTTTTTGTTTTTCTGTTAGGTAAGAAATGTTGAAAATTCTCATCACCCTTAGTTCCAATTTATCTGTTAGAGCTTTTCTACCATTTATGATCATGCATTATGGTCATTACTTTCACTGTATTAGAGCTCTGTTAAGCAGCTGTAGCACTGGAAGTCTAGTAAAATGCTTATTAGTTAAATGTTTGCAATGTATAGCATGTTCTTTTGTGTGTGTGATATTTTTCCACATTTACTTTAATACTTCTTGGAAGCTTATGTCCGATCAATTTCACTGTGATAGATTAGTCAGCTTTTCAACATCAGAGTGTGTCCTATCTACCAAAATAGGTAAGTACAGGAGAATTTAAGGATGACAATGGGAAGCGATTCAGAGTTTCACAGTTTTGCAGATTTGAATCGTCCTCCAATAGAATTTTGAGTTTTAAATGGAGTAAATTTTTGTAGTGATGATGATGGTTTCTTGCTCTTCCGCTTCTGCTTAATGTATGGATAATGATTGTCAGAGAGCATTTATAGCATATCGGTACTGAACCCCATGTAATTTCATAATCCCTTTATCCTTAGGTAAATGCCACTTACCTTGACGGCTTCAGGGCTACTGCTGTCTGTCCAGTGGGAGGTCCAAAGGCAGTACAAAAAGGAAAACGCACTGCGGAAAGTATTCTGCAAAGGTTAGTATTTGAGTCTTGGAAGGGGTTTTGGCTTTTTCTTTTCAGAGATGATGAAAATAGAACTGTAACATACAATGGCAACCATATTAACTTTGTAAGAACCCTGGAAGATTATAATCTTGCAATTGGGAGGACATTTCAAGACTTAACTAGTTAGTTTAGGAAACATGTTTTCAAATATAACTACACTTCAGCTACATTTGACAGAGCGAGAAAGGTCTCAAATATTGTTGAAAATAGACGGCTGGATAGTGGAGAGAAACCCAAATTAATGAGGGAAAAGCTGTGATTCATATCAAAATTTATTTGGTGCTAGAGAGAAACCCATGTGAAACTAGTTTTCACTGATTTTCACAGAACTACTTTTCATCAAAAATCTTAGTCCTATGAAATGTAGGCAGTTCATCAAGCTTGTGTTTTAAACAAAGTTATCTTAGTACCTTGTAAAATGTGACTAATGATTTTGTTTGCTAGAACAATTTTACAATTGTAAGACAGACTGATAAACCTTCAGTCACATTGTTATGCCAGTATATTTGGGCAAGGATTCCCAAATATTCTTAAATATAATTCCATATTGTCACGGAAGTCTCTGAGCATTTACTCTGATAGCCCAATCTTTCTAGTTATGAGATCTACCTCTTTGTGCCGTGTCTCTGCGTATATAACTTCCCCCCCATGCTATTATAGATGCATGCAGCAAGTACACTAGGGTAGACACCTGTCAGAAATGCAAGGTTTACTGTGGTCTTAGAGTGACTTATGGCTCATATGCCCATGTACAGCACTGTGATGAAGGAGGAGCTGTGTGACTTCCCTCAAGAGACATACCAGATGAGAGTGGGCTGATATGGGCTGTGTAATTAAGCTATGGAATCCCTTTCTTCAGAGTGGTGCGAATGCTAAAAGTGTATATGTCCAAGAGCTACTGAGAAAATCAATGAAGAAAAAAAACCCTTCAAGAGCTATTAAATATAAAGACTCAGGGACTCAGAAGTCCCCGAAAAGCAATCTTTTTGGAAGCTAGGTGATTATTTTGGAAATAGAATGCTATATTTTCCCTTTGATGTTTGTTCTTGGACATTATTTCAGGCCGGACTACTGAATCTTTTGTCTGATTGAAACAGCTTATGGTGCTGCTGCCTCTGTGACCACTACAAAATTAATTCAGCCTGCCTACTGTGCTGTCCTGAGTAATCCTCAGAAGAGGGGTGATGGGAGATAGCCACAGGCTGGCTAAGTGGCTTGATAAGTGGCTTCTAGCCCATAAGGCATCCCTGGAGCAGCTGTGGCTTGTTCTGTGCATTAAAAATCACAATACACAGTATTGCCCATCAATATATTCTCCATCTCAAACACAGTCTTAAACAGCTGAATGTGTGGAATTGTTTATTCAGCATGTTCGAAAGATTTGTGTATGTCAACCCAGATATAAAATAAAAGTTAAGCTGTTCTGATTATTGTCAGAGAATGCTCTACCAGCAACTACATCTCTTTAGGAAGCTCTGACTTCAGTCGTTCCACCAATTCCTGTTGCAAGAGAATGTCGAAAGGACAGCTTCCAGTCCATTCTAGAATAAATTCTGCCCAGTAGTCTAATGGCAACAAGTACAGAATAAGGTGCACAAATTTAAGGTGCTTCAGTTGTACAGGTCAAGTTAGCTGGCAGCCTAAGACATTAAGCAGCTTTAGTAGCTTGTCATATGACTTCTTTCACTTCTTTCTTGCATACTTCTCCTTTATTTGTTTATTCATTTTTGAAAGCAGGAGAGATTTGGTAGTATGTGTGTGAAGAAGTCTTTTTGGAGTAGTCTTTGGTGTCCTTTTATTTTTGATGGTTCTCTGTGGCATAACCAAGACACGTGAAATGGCTAAAAATTACCCACAGAATGTATTTTGAACTCTAGTATCTCTAACTGTAATGTTTGTAGAGAAATAATTGAAAATAACTTATTACAGACACAGTTTGCAAATTTAGGTATCTTAAATCAAGTATCTGTCTTTCTGCGGTCATGAAAATAAAGATGGCCTTATTTGTGGTACATGGACCACCTTCATTTCTGTACCACAATGAGAGAATTACATTTTGTATTTAAGTCCTATACACTGCTTAATTTTTCAGGTACGTGCTAATACTTACAACAATGATGATATATTAACAGTGTCTTCAAAATGTTCCACTCATGCAAAATATTTTTCTCATCCTAACAATGTTTCAACTGATAAAATCTTTTATACAGCTAGAAGGATGCCAGACCAAGATTATTGGGAAACCAGTTTAGGTGCTTCAGAATTGAACTTATTTTTCCAATCTGCAACATGTTAATAAATCGGACTATTTTTAGCGGTTGGATTCTTTTAAAACTTTTCTCTAACTTTTTTTACTATGATTTTTTAAAAAAATTTTTTATTTTGGACTTCATATGATTATTTTTTTAAATCTATAGTAGTAATTTTCAGGTTTAGTGCTTGAGAGTTGGGCTGATTTTTCTGAGAGCTGTTGCAAACAGTCTAATCCAAATTTAATATTTGTCAAAAACTAGTATTAATTCTTGGCTCTCTTAAAGCAGTGTGTGTTTTCATGGTGTATAAAAAGAAGGTAATGTTCATCCCCATTATTAATCGTGATTGGACAAACTTGGCACTCTTGACAAAATGTGCTTTTGGTGGAAATATCCTTATAGAAAGAGTTTGAAGGATTTCAGTGCCAGACTGGAAAGGCACGAGTGATGAACAAAGGTTCTCTTTAAAAACTTTATCTACTTTTTGGCATTTGAGTCTTACGTTCTTTAATCCCAAATGAATACCTTTAAGGTTTGGATAAAAGTTCCTTCTTCAGTTCAATTTTTCTTCATTGGTGCCTGTGATGTAATGAGGTAGTTTCATGTATTTATTGGTGGTTCATAATGCCTTATAGCAGAAACAGAGTTAAGAACTAAATTACCAGTATGAAAACCAGGAAGACTACATATACTGTAATTACATTTCAAGCTGTCTTTGTTTTAAAGATAAAAGTAAGAGATGAAATCCATTTATTTGTCTTTGCCTGTCATCTTTCAAATAATTTGAATAAACAAAAGGCTCAGTTTGAAACCTAGGGATAAATTCAGAGGCATAACTTCCTTGTCAGTAATCGCTTGATTTGTAGTATTCGGGTATATTTGTTTAGTGTAAAGTATTCATAGTCCAGTTTACGTGACAGAGCTAACTCCTGTGGACCACACAGGGCTACTTCAGATAATCATTTTGAGGCAGCTTACTAATAAAAAAAAATCATTTGTTGCAGGACTCGTCTTATTTTCAGTCAGCTTGGGTATGAAGATTACAGTGCAGTTAACATACAGGTTTTAGGGTCTGAAGATACATATGGACCTCATGCTAGAAGGAGTATAGATGGTGTAAGTATTCAGTGGAGTGTTCTTAACCTTTTACTGACCTCTTTTAATCTCTCCGTATTGTTATCTTTTCCACAACTTTAAAGGAAGTCACTATCATCTTGGGAATTTCACCCCATCATCTTGCAAAGAATTCAGTGTCACTACTTAGTGTACAAAATTAACACTGATAAGGTCTTTGCAGTATTGGGTCTTCCAGAAGCACTGATACGAAATCTTACAAAAATGTTGTTGTAGTCTGTTCTGATGTTGTTCATCTGAAGAAATATCTTCTTATAAAAGTTCTTATGATGTAGACGTATTGCATTAGATATGATTCTAAAAGACCACATTATAAAGGTTGCAGAGTCAGGAAATGGCAGAATTATTGTTGCCTGTGCAACTTCAAAACTGTCTGTGAGTACTATTTGTGAAACAATCTTCAACTATATAATCTTGCATTGTATTTTGGGACTTGTTAAGTTCATATGTAAGAATATGAATGATGGCTATAGCCACTGCAGCTGTGATATCCATGGTCTGTTTTCCTAATCTAGAATATGAGAGTCCTTTTTAAAGGAAAAAGACAGTAAATCTTGTCCTCACTTACATACACTTTAAATATTTAGACAGTTTAGTTTGTTCCAAAACAGTAGTATCTAATTCTTTTTTGTCAATGGCAGTCTTGCAAAACTCTTAAGGTACACGTGGCAAAACTCAGCTCTGTGAGTTTGATCTTAGGAGTGCCAACACTTAAAATAGCCAAAAATTTGTATGATAGGAAACAAGAATGTGATGTGCAGAAAGACAGGGAACTTTTTCCTGTAGAAATTAAGTGTTCTTAGAAATTGGGCAAGTTATATCTGCAGCTGTTCATTTCAGTGCTTGAACTTCAGTTTCTTTCTGCACAGCAGCAAGAATTGCTTCCCGATGAACCTGCTTTATAATGTGGTCTTTTTCCTTTTAGCACCATAAACCCTGCAATGTTAAGTGTGTTACTGAGATTGCAGAATCAAAATTTTGAAACATAGGAACAGATGTTCCAGATGTTGAGCTTGCCTGTGTTCTGTTTATACCAGCTCCTTATGATCATGCATTGTAATACATTCTTTAATTAGATTGTTACATAGAAAGTTTTCTGCGTCATACAGAGTGAATAATGACTTGAAAAAGAGCAGTTCTCCTTCGTTATTGTTCAGTTTGCCTTGCTTATGGTACGTTAAAGATATTTTCCAAATGAAATTGAGTATTTGTAGTATTTTCTGTATTTCCAGCCTCAACTCCCAGTTCTTATATTAGAAGTAAATAGAGCGTTACCTCCATCATATGTGCTTCCCATACATGCCTGAAATAGGATGTGAGAGCTGAGGCTGAAATACAGGAAATGGCTCTATTGCCTCCCCCCTTCACCTGGTTACTCCAGCAGTTTAGAAGAAACTAACCAGAGGAGTTTTCATCTGGAAAGCAGCCACAGTAGCTTGAGGAAAAAGGGGTGGGCAGTGGGGTTTGCTTTTCCATTTAAAATACAGAGTCATAGAATCCCAAGGAAAACATATGCCCTTTGGGCCTGCAGGTAGGAATAATGTAGTCTCTTAAACGCTTTTTCCTACCACGTCTTCCCATACA